AGGACTCAGGGCATGGTGGGGTGCATGACTGGCGTTTGCATCAGGCTTGGGGAGCGCTGAGAATGGAGGTGCCTGGGGTGTGTGGCCACAGGTGTGGAGCTGTGCCTCCACAGCCCCGGGCTGCCCCTGCAGCACTGTCATGGAGCAACGCACACAGGCACACCAAGAAAACCAGCACTGACAAAAAACCCACCCCCAAAGCAATAGCACTGCACATGGCCAAAGGCCGAAGGTCTCCCCTCACTCGCTCGCACAGACACGTCTTTAATTCTTTATTTATTCTTGTTTGCAGCTCTGCCCAGTGCCAGGTGCCAGCTTCTCCTGTGTGCCACCTCTTGGGAACGGCCAGGGGAGCTGGACAGGGTTGTTGTCATAGCCAGCCACAATAAGTGATGGTGATGATTAGGTCGCTGTGATGGAGAAATTTTGTTTTACTTGGAGAAAATTGTTGAGTTTTTGACTAGGCGTCTTGGTTTTGGGGGTGGGTTTTTTTGGTTTTTTGGGGTTGATTTTTTTCTTACTCCTTAAGGTTTACGCAGGCCTAAGGGCTTCACAGCTTTGGTTGTACCACAAACAGGAAAACTGCAAGTGCTTACTGAACACCCCAACATAATACAGCCACAGCACAGGGTTTCGGGGGGGTTTGAGTTGGTTTGGGTTTTGTACTAGGGAGAAAGGAAGGATGTTTTACTTGTGTCCAAATACATCTCAGAGAACTGGTTTCATTTCACACACATTTGTATGTACATGTATGTATGTATGTACATGTATGTATGTAGCATGCACACACTGGATTGCTGTTCTCCCTTCCACCCTCCCCACCGCTGGTGCTGTGTCTGCAGGGGGTGATGAGGACACAGCCTTAACCAGGCTGGTGGGTCAAGTAGACGGGGCAGAGAACATGGTGGAGCAGGGGTTTGGGGGCTGAAGTCACCTTCCCTAAATACAGACAGGTGGCTGCCCATCCTGCTGCTTTGAAACCAAAGCTTGCCTCCTTGGTAGAGGCAAAAAAATCTGACATTCACATGTCAAAGCAACCGCCCCCCACTTGCAGAGCAGCTCAATACTGTGATTCTCCAGGGTCTGGGCACATGTAACTTATTATTTTTGGTTTTTGATCTTGTGCTCTCCAGCAGAACCAAAGCATGTGGTCCATAGACTGGCAGCCCTTGTCATATGTGTTGCTATAGATAGCCTCAGAGAGAAAAATCGAGACACCTCAGCTGTAAGCAGAGATAGAGCCTAATGTGGTCTTCATGATGTGGCAGTTTGGCTTTCTAGTTGTATTTTGGTTTTTGGTGTGCATTTTTCATGCTGTCTCTCCTCAGGCCCCATGTTTTCTCCCTCAGCACGTCCTTCTGCTGTAATGTACTGCACAGCTTTTGAACAGAGACCTGTTTTGTCACTGCAGACTCTTGGTGTTAATACTTCATGGGACTTCCTAGTCTTGTCAGTCTTTTAGTGTCAAAGCAATAAACACAACAGTTTTGCAGAATACACAGATGCCCTCTGCTTCATCTCTAGCCTTTTACAGTTATGAATTGCAAAGAAACCTGAATGCCAAGTTGCTCTGAGTGCATATGGAGCGAGACATGACCTGATGCTGGCTGAGGACCAGCGCGGGGCCATGGATGAGTGGAAGTGAACGACAAAGCATTGTCTGTAATGACTGGCCTCAAACAACAAAGCATTGTCTGTAATGACTGGCCTTCTTCCACCCCAGTCAACACAGAGGAACAACAGCACACTGTAGAGACTGGAGAGAGAGCTGCTGAATCACAGCTAGGAGACAGTAAGGGAAAGACAAAACATCCCATCACCATGTGTAGAAAGTCCATAATGAATCGCATACCTCGTGGGCAGTGGCTTCAGACTGAACCTGCTGCCTCACGAGGAGCCTTCCTGCCCCCAGGGCCATGCTGCAGTGGGCTGGAGAGCACAACATGTACTTGGTCAGGGGATTGTCTGTGACCCTGCCCATCCCCTGTGTTGCATGGCATCCTCTCCTTCCAGTTTGGTGTTGTCCAAAAACTACACAGCTCCTCTCCTGACTAGCAGCCTGGAAAAGCGTCCATTTGGTTATCCTAGAAATCTGCCTGGCTGCCTGTGCCCATCTAGTCATGTAACCAGCATCAATGACAAGGCATCATTGCCAGCAGAAGCACGCCATGAACAGAAACACTTTTTGCAGATTTTATTTTTTTATTTATTAAAAAAAAACCCTGAAGTTGAAATACAGAGTAATTGGGAGTGTCTCACAACATAGTAATAAAACATTTTTATTGCCTCTTAGATATAATCTCTAAGACTATAAGCCTATAATTCCTGTTAAATCTCACATAATTGACTGGTCTTTATAGGCTTTCCTCATTAGAAAATGAACACTGAATACTGGCTTTAACACAACATCAGGAACACAGGAAAACAGTAGTATGGGGAAGAAAACACGAAGTTTTGGTATCTCAGGGAACATTGCAGAACCTGGCAGAGACACAGCCAGCAGAAGGCATGTGCTTGCACAGGACAGCAGGAGTGGGGTCAGGGGCTGCACGTTCCCTCCCTCTGACTGGCTCATGGCCAGGGGACAAGGACAAGGTGACTGTACACAATGTGAGGGCCTGGGTCTCATACCACACAGCCCCAGGAGGAGGAATAAGGAAGAAAACAGTGGATAAAAGGAGAGACATGACAGGAGAGGCTCTGGGAGCAGTGCTGATGCCATGGTCCCCAGACAGGACACTGCTGCACCTCTGGCTTACAGATACTGGCTCAGCCCACAGGTAACATGAGCCAGGGCCAGCCTCTGGCTTCTAGGTCGATTGAAGTTTAAAAGTACAGTATTTTTCCTGGAAGTGAGTCACTTCTTATTCAACCATTCCCCTCAACTGATGAAGACCTGGTGCAAAAAGGAGAATTGTTCCAGCTGATGGAGTGAGAGGTGATCCTGAGGGCCAGGTCTGCTGGTTCAACTGAAATGACAGCTGAGGAACTCTCATGAGCCTCTTGAATTAACAGTCTCCTGTCATGTTGGGTTTGCTCCCCACCTTGACATTCCCAGTGCCAATCCATGGCAGCACAGCTTCTCTGCAGGACCAGGGCTCAGGCAGAGGGTGCACAATGCTGGACCCCAGCTAGCCCAGTCCATGCTGCCTTCTCCCCAGGGGATCAGAAACATCCAGGCCCAGCTGAAAAACATCTCTTCAGAAACATACATAAGGGAGAAACTATGGGGCAGATCCATGAAAAAAAGTGCTCTGCTTTTGGTGCCTTCTTACTGTCACATAACAGGAAAAAAAAGAGTCAGCTACCCTCCCAGCCCACCTCCCATTAATTGTTGCATAATTCACTCAAAAGTACTGATAGGACAAACCAGAATATTTTATGAAAACCTCCTTTTGCACTCACCCGTGAACAAACCAGGAGAGGTGATGAAATATATTCCTTGACACCTTCTGCTTCCAGTGTACAACACCACATGATATTTCCAGACACTTCCCTGACCAACATATGCAACTTTCCAGCACTTGTCTATATTTTTCACTTATCATTTGCCTCTCGGTTTACCTTGTCTTCCCTGTGGTTTTATTCACAGCCTCCTCCTGCTGGGCTCTCCTTCATTTGGGGCACAGTGTCCAAAGGAGGCAGTGCTGAGTGAGCACTATTGAACTTCTGTGCTCTCATCTTGCCCCAGCTGGTCTAGGGAAGACTGAGGTGTCCCCCCCGTCCCCTCAGCAGGCAGTCCAGGGCAGAAGCAAAGTGTAGCATCATGGCAACGCACTCTGGCAAAACCCAGCATAAGCTGCAGGAAAACGAAGAACTTCTTCAAGCCTGCCTGCTTACCTTTGGGGAATGAAGGTACTCGGGCCGTGAGCACATTGCTCCACCAGCTGTTGCAAAGGACGTTGTGCCCTGAAGACAGAACAGTGTCACTGCTATAGGAGACCTGCACATCGACTCGGTGCTGGTGCCACAGCCACACCAATGACTTCAAAAGTGGGTCTGGGATTTGAAGTGATGGGTTATTGGACACCTTAAACCTGTCAGACCAGGTCAGAGGCAGGATCTCCAGAGCCTTGGCTGCAAAGCATTTTATTTGAAAACCCAGTCTCTGGGTAGGGACCTCCAAACCTGAGCAACCTGAGTCCCCATTCACCTGTGGAGACTGCGGCTTGCATAGTCAGCACCCTGATCAGACAGCTGCAGAGAGGAACCAACAGTGGGACACAGGCTGAAGGAGCTGCAGCCATGACTGGGCATAGACAGCAGCACTTCTATGGGTGGGGTGACTCTGTAGCATGTGATACTTGCAGAAGGTGAGGGGTGGCTATCACAGAGAGATGCTGCTCTCAGTTCACAGGGTGCTGACAGACATGGGAAAGAACACAGTACATAAATACATCCATGCACAGCCACAGTCTGCAGTCTCTGGGGGCTTCTGAGAGCACCTAGATATGGGGCTCGCCGATAGCTGCATTCCTCTTCTCAAACCTCATTTTGAGCTCTGAAACGAGGGCGTTGTGGGTGCTGCTATGACTTTTCTTCTTTGGTGGCTTAATTATATGCTTGGGAGTGAGTGAGCCGGACACAGTTGGCACCCTCCACCCCAGGGCATCGCTCCTGGGAGCCAGGACGGGGGGTGGTGGGGGCATGGGGGCCGCTGGTGGCACAGAGACAACCTGGATGTTGTTGTTGCTGTTCTCGTTGTGTAGGCTCTTGGCATCATCCTCAATGACAAACTTCTCTGCAGCACTGCTGGGCCTCTTGAACTTCAGCCACTCCATCCTGACTGTCCGGGATGGTTGGATCTGTCTCTTTTTTATGATCCTTCTTACCGGCATAATTTTGTTGGACCGCTTGTTGCGCCAGAACATGGCAGTAGAGATCATGATAGTGATCAGCACCATTATGCCCATGACACCAGCTAGCACTCCTAAGGCTTTCATGGGATTATCTTTAGTTTGCATCAAAAAGGCGGCCATAGGCCCTTTGTGAAGAGTCTGTAAAGGAGTACAAAGAAAACACATCACTTACTCTAGGGGACAAACAGTGACCCAGAAATTTCATTTGTCCAAAATATGTAACAAGCAGGGCTGACTGATGGAAGTTGTCTCTAAAAAAATAAGAGTCATAGAGCCAGTCCAGGGGTGGAGAATTTAAATGGGGCTGAAGACTGGGCAAACATTACACTACTGTGAGGTAGATGACTGTTGAAAGCTTACAGAAGTATTGCCACCAAATTAGGACAGATTCCAGCGTGTCACCGTAGTATTTGTTTAACTTGCAAGAATGGAGCAAGAAAATAATTGACTCAATTACTGAGCATGGCATTGAAAAGATAATAAGAAAACTTCACTTTATAAAATGACAGTGCACAAATAAGTAGTCAGCAGGTATGTGCTGCATTCTGTTTTCAAGTACTCTTTTACAGACATAACAAAACTCTTTGAGGTAGGGGAGATGAGTAGAGCTAAAGAGCTTTGTTTTTAGAAAGAAAAGAAAAAAGCAGTGACCTAAGCTACATATGGCATATTAAGGACAAATGAATGGCCAGTTCACTTTCCAGCTTAACACACTGTGCGTCTCGGAGGTCCCCGTATAATTTTGCGGATTTTGCCCTGTGGGTGGAGCCTGGATCTTTTCACACTTTTCCAGTACATGATGGTGGAGATCACCATTGTAACAGAAATGGTGGAAAGGACGCCACTCATGCATATTCCAAATATTGTCCATGGACGCTTCTTGAGGCCTAAAATATAGGATTTTACCCTGGACTTGATCTGGAAATATCAAAAATAAGAGAAATGGTCAACCCTCACATGGTTATAGTTGAAAGAGGCCAGTATCTATTATAAATACAGCTGGGGAACTAAGCTGAAATGTGTACAGGATAGAGAGCCTATAACATAAAGGGAGCTAAGTCTTGAACTAGGCACAGGAGAGGAGGCATTTGCAATGAAGTTGAACTGAATCCAGAAACACTAAAAGAAGTTAGGAAGCACATATAAAAACCTGCTTGGTCAAGGAATAAAGGATATCAATATGGCATATAGATTCAGGGCATGGTAGTCCATCCTTGGACTACATTTCCAAGAGATGTTTGTAATGAATACAAGCTCCTGCAATGGTGTGTGGACAGACAGTAAGGTTGTGCAAGGCCAGGCCAGGCTTCAGAAATGGCAGATTCACATGCAGGTTTTTTTACTGAGAGTTGGTCATAAAGTGATGTGTGGCTGCAGAGAGACAGGGCTACCCACGGTGCCTCAGTCCCCTGCCCTTGACTCCATGAGGGAATCCTCACTCAAACTTTGCACGTCTAGTAGCAGGTGATCTGTATTTTTGTTAGTGGGCTAAACTCCCAGCTTGGTCAATGGGGAGAAAAGTACACCTCCGGAGTAGTTGGCACCACATGCTAAGATAGCTATCAAAGACAGTGACTAGCTTGGACTTGAACCTTTGACTTGTAGACATTTAAAGTGAGATCAGATGGACTTCTCTGCATGGCTCTAAACTAGGATGCCCATCCCTTTGCCCTCCCCAGTCTGTGGAGGGAGATGACTAAGGGTATCCCCAGAGGTATGCTTCATAGTACCTCTTGTCATTTATGTCACATCCATAAACTTAGGGCATGTAAATAAATAAATAAACATTGTCTTCACTTCACTTCTGTGTTTTCATGATCTACCTCAAATGCATTATCAAGCCCACTCTTCCCCTACCCTGAATGTTTCCTATCGCCAAAGAGAAAGGGGTAAAAGGATGCTAGTGAAACTCACAGTCCGTGTCACCATGCATGTAGTGACCAGTTTTCATCATTTTGATGTGTGGAGAGTTCTTCTAGCGTTTAATTAGGAATGGACATGAGCAAGAAACTAAAAGCAGAGCAACCCATGACTTTGGTGGAGCTTGGATGCACATCAGCTTCTCTGTTCTGCATTACATGGATTTTTTGTACTTAAATCACATTAGATGACAGAAATTCTACACTGGCTTACTTAACTTCATGTGAAAGTCAGATGAGTTGTCAAATAAACCCTGCTAAGTAGTGCATGACCTGAAATAAGTTCACTTGTTATGAGTGTTGTCAAGATCTATTTTGTAGTGAGGCGCTTATGGCTGAAGAGTATAGGACCAACATAAGGGAAAAGATGACGTATATTTAAGAAGATGATATATTTCACTAATAATTGTTTGACTAGCTATATGCAAACCTTAAATAAATGGGATTTGACAGAAATACATGTTGCCAGTGTACTGCAGTTGCAGGAGTAAGAATGGATGAATGAGGAGTTTCAGCACTCGGCTCTGTTCAACACCCTGGTCTCAGCAAGTTTGGCACCTCTTCAGAAGTGCCAGTGATGAAGGGATTGTTAATACAAAAAGTAAAACCAGCAACAGTTAGCCAGTTCAGCCTCTATTCTAGTTACTGGGCCTGTACTATACAAAGCTTTGCCTGGAACTAGCCTTGGACAGCAACTCTTCTGTGGTGTCTGCATAAAAAAATCAGGCATTTTGTAAGGACGCAGTGGGAGAATTTCTGTTTGTCATGGCCATGACACAGGATAAATAGGAGGAGTAACTTGCAAACCAAGCTAGGAATGTCATCATCTTAGCCAGCCTGCAGAGAAGCTTATGGGGAGTGTATTTGTCACCAAAAAACTTAGCGTTCTCATCTGTGGCATCGCTGTGGCCCAGTCACCTAACATCCTAAAGAGAGAGAAGCCTAAGCACCCTCTGACAGTGAAAGTCTGGGAGCATTTGGACAACTCAGTTTAAGCAGTTTGGCCCTGAGCACTACCCTGTAACACTTCAAGTCCTTCTGTCAATTATCAGCAGTGCCACAGAGCTGTGCCAACAAGTAATGCCACTTTGTTAACTGCTGAAGCTGTTGCTTTTTTCTAAGAGGCATGCTGCATTTTGAAGAGTACTGTTTTTTTCTTGTACACATAAACCAAAAGCAGATACATAATTAAATGAAAGCTGCCATATCTATGTGGGACAAAACCTTGAAGAAATACTCTCTAAACAGTCACCAAAGGAATTAAAATACCACTTCTCACAGAAGAGAATTCTCTGCTGATTTTTTGCTGTGGCAGCTTCTCAAGAGCCTTTCCTAATGCATGGGTTGCAGTGAGCAGAACAAGTGGGCCATGTATCCAGAAGTTGGACCCAACAGGAGTGTGTGGTTTAGCTGTTGAACCACAAGACCAGCTAAGGCTCACCAGCTATATTTAGAAGTCTAAGTAAGTAGGCAAAGCTGCTGAGAGCTCAAGCTATTGCAGATTATTGTAGATGTGTCACTTAGGGACATGGTTTAGTGATGGACTTGGCAGTGCTGGCTTAACAGTTGGAGTCAATGATCTTAAAGTTCTTTACCAACCTAAACAATTCTACAATTCTGTTACAGACAACTCAGGCTGAGCAAGTGGATCTGTACAAAGAACCAGCTGGTTCTGAGAAGTCCACTTCTACATATTCAGCATTTCTGGGGTTTGCTCTAGCCTAGTTTCAGGGATGAACTGGCTATTAGTGCCAAGGCACATTAGGTGTGCTCCCCAAAGACATTGTCATCTGAAAGAAGTCCACTTTGGGTGTTTGGAGCCATCCTGCAGTTCTATGTGGAGAATGATCAGGAGATTTCCTTCAGAAGTGACTCCTGATCCAAGGTAGAACACAAGGTTCCCCTGCAGTGCTTATCCCAAACTGCAGTGCTATCACTGTTTATGAAGGCTGTGTTTGCATTACTTCGAAATACAAACACCAGAATGAGGCAAGACTACTCAGATCAATCCAACCTTTTTTTTTTCAAGTTCATGAAACTGTGGAAAGAAGAGGCTAACTGCTCTGCAAATATGGCAAAAGTTGTTAATGCCATCAACACCATGGCTGCAGAGCTAGTAGGAGAGAGGAGGAGATCTCCATATTAATTCACAGAAGACTTTTGTTGAACCTTTCAATTAGGAGAATCTATAACTGAGACTCACCAGCTATATTTAGAAGTCTAAATGAGGAGCCAAAGCTATTAAGAACTACAGATTATGCTGTCTAAATGTAGACTTAAGCCTCAGTCCATGAAGAGGTGTAAATAAACGCCCCCCTATATTTGCAGAACCTCAGTGGAGTCAAGAAGAGGCAGAGGGATGCCCCCATCAGGCCAACCTTCAGGATTGGGGGTGGGAATCAGCTCTCTGTGAAAATCTCATGCAGTACACTTATGGAGGATGCAATATCAGATTAGTGTCCAGATCCTGCTGAGGAGACCTACTCGGAGAAAGAAGATGCTGTTGCTATCTCAGGCTCTGTGTTGGGACTTGGCATTGAGAAGAACATGGGAAGAAGGGAATCTGAGAAGAATCCATGTCTTCACAGCCCCCTCTGCTTTGCCTTTAGACTTTATCAGGAGGGGTGCTCCCTCACTGTACCAAGTCTATAGACCTGGAGGGGGAGAAAAGGAAACAGAGAGGGGACTTCATATGAGACACATCTTTCATCATATTCTGCTGTTGCTTCAAGCACTAGAAGGAAATCCAGGAACCTATTTATCCCAAAGTATCAGCTACTCTTGTTTTCCTTCCAGTTGTCCTTCATCAGTTGGTTCAGGGACGCAGATTCTTCCCAAGCAGAGGAGGTTTGGGGCACTCTCCCTCCACTCAACACCCATCTGCTCTATACCTTAGCCCCACACACCAACAGAGAGGTTACCAACTCATCTGGGAGGGGAGGGAAGGCTGGGGACCAACATCAGGGACAATGCCTGGGTACAGTGACTGGGTCCACCTGGTGCTGAAATGTCTGCCCTGTGTGAAGCCTGGAAGCAAGACAGGGAGGACAAGTGCTCTCACTGTTGGCTGGGGGCAGCAATTCTTGTTATATAAAACCCACTTATGTCTCCATGAGAAATCAAAGTGTTAAGCAGTTTCTTTCCTTTAGATCTGTGAGCATGGTTAAATCTCTAGACTTATCGCAGAGACCCAGCATGCACAGTCTGCACATGGCAGAGCCTTGCCCTGGCACGCCCTGCCCACGCCAAGCTCTGTACCCTGCAACAGGGCTGGCTGGCCCCAACAGGCAGCCCCACACCTGGTGCTCCCCTGCTAGGGCAGAACCGAGTCCTCTGGCCATCCTGATGAGACAGGCAAAGACATCGGGGACTATGAGATACTCTTGTGCTGCTGGTGGCTAAGTTTACCTTGTTGATGAGCACAAGTGATCTCTGTGGACACCTTTTAACTTCCAGCAGACTCTGAACTGTCTACATGAACTATGATATGAATGTGCCTCATAAGGAGTATCAGTGGAATAAGAGGAGATGGAGAAAACAGAGAGATTGTAACAGGCAAATGAGCAGTGGGAGCACTGTGACCAAACAAAGAGAATGTCAGCTGCTGTCTGTACGATGAGATTTGCATCTTTGCCCAGTATGTGTGTAGTCCAGAGACTGTCAGGCTAATGATGTGTTTCTCATCTACTTTAAAGCCCATTTCCTCCCTGCTGGTACCTAGTTGAAAGCATGGCAAGGCAGTTAAATAAGAATCATGCAAGCATGAGCTGCTTGTTCTTTGGCTGATGTAAAAGTTGGAGTAACAAGAAACTCTCAACCTGCATGTGCTATCTTTTAGAATCTTCTTGTTTTGTCTGCTAATAATACTGCAATTATTAAACTCATATCCAAAATTCTAAGTACTTGAAAGCATTTCTATAGTTTTTTCTCACTTTTCCTATGTCTCTTATGTTGACTTGCGCAACTGGTCTGATTTATTTCACTCTGGGCCCAGCTACTTTCCACTCACTTTTTGTGGGGGGAAAAAAGAGTATTTTCTTCTTCTGTGTGAAAACAAGAAAGCATAAACCTAGCAGTCAGAATTTAACTTTACTCTCAGGAGTCTGTAGTCCTTGATTTACATCTGTCTCTAACAATCGGATACAAGAAGCTCATTTCTCAATCACATTATGCTCCTACCTTTGTACCTTTGTAATATTTCTGATCCAAATGTGTTTTACATTTGTGGCTGTAGAATCCAGCTTCACCACAAGGCTCTAGAAACACTACAAAATAGAGCTGGCAAGAAAGTCTCAGAAACAGAGCAAGCAATGTCTATCCTTCGGTGCTCCTCAAGAATTATCTCACAGACAGATTTTTCTAAAACATTTGCTTACCTCTTCTGTGATATCAATCTTGAGAACTGCTGTGGTACTGAAAGATGGGGAGCCTCGATCTTTGGCCTGTACCACCAATGACCATATGCAGTCTTTGTTTTTTGTGATGTTGTGGATGATGTCTAGGGAACGTATATAGGATTTCAGCTTGATTTCCCCAGTGCTTTGGTCTATATCAAACACATTGGCTGGATCTGCTTGCATGATGGAATAATCCACAATGTTGTTGGGTTCTTCTGCATCTTGATCTATAGCCTGTTAGGGGAAGTGTAAAAACCAAAGGTGTTATTGTTTGTATCTTTGCCTGAGGGCAAAAAGTTTCTGAGCATTCACCTCTGATAATAACCATGCAGTGACTGAGATGGTTTTATTTCATCTTGGAAACTATGCTACATTTTCTAATGAAAAACAGCAGGACTAGACTTGTTTATGTATAAGTGATTTCTATTTGAGATTAAATAAAATCAGAGGAAAAACTGAACCATAACCTATCTGTAGAATGCAAATTGTGCACTGCTGGGGAGCTTCTCACCCAGTGTGGGGGACAAATTTGAAGTGGTAGAGACAATGGGATTAGCTCCATGCCATAAAGAAAGCTGCCTTAATTTTTGTGTTGCAGTATTTATTCTGCTAACATTAGGTGTTATGTGATCAGGCTTCACAATATGCATTCAAATATGTGTAACATAGGATGTTCTGCTCCTTTGCCTGTGAATTATTGCTTTTTTTCACCTTCTGTTCCACACTGGATCAATGAATACAGTTCTGCAAAGCAAAGGGAAATAAGTCCGTGGTTGAGCATAAAGGGATGTCAGGAGGGTTAAGTATTCAAAACCTTTCATTCAAAACTTTCATTCACTCATCTTATTTGGGCTTCTTATGATCACTGTATAATCCAGGATCCTCCAGCAGCTGGTGGTTCAAATACTGTAATAGAACTTTATATTTTGCCTATAGAATTTATTTCTCCTTCTCAGCAGTCTGTAAATACTATAATTCACACTTTAATCCACTTGTTACATCCAAGTGGATGTGCAAAATAAAGCTGCAAGAGAAGCCATCTTCCAGACATTTGTCATGACCCCTGAGAACAAACAGCAGGGCTGGGGCTTTTCCAGCACCCTCTGCTTTGGGACACACTGTGCTGTCTCTCACCTCTATCTTCACTGGTGACCCGATGATCATTGTCTTTTCCTGGATGTTTTCATTGAACTCTGGAGAGTGGTCATTGACATCTAATACAGTGATAAACACCTCAGCCAAGCTGTATTTTCCATCTGTGTCCTCTGCTTTCACATAGAAATTATACTTTGAGTTCACTTCAGCATCTAAAATAGCCCACGGCTGGGTGTAAATTATACCTGTTGATGGGTGGATTAGGAATCTGGAAAAGAAGCATGAAAAGACTTTTGGGGTTTTTTTTGTCACTTAATGTGCATTTAGAACCCTCCTTTCTTCCAGGCTGTAAACACTGAAATGCTGTGCCCAAAGATGGAAACTCTTTACCTAATTCCTGTCTGGCCAATGTTTCCAAACCCTCACTCTACCTACATTTTGTCTAGTTCCTTTAGGCTTGAAAAACCAGACAACTACCAGTGTCTCAGGTTTTTCTGTCTATTGTGCATTATCCATTTTAGCTGCATTTTCTATTAAAAGTCTTTGTCCTCAGTTAATGCTCAGTGTGATGGTCTTGTCCCAGAGTGATTTCCTTGCATTAAAACATTAAGCCTATTTACCTTTTTTCAGTTTAAAAGTACAATGTATTAGATCATGTCCTGCATAAATTAAAATTGATTTATATCACCTGAATTTCTATGGAGAGTGTGCTGCATATCATATTTAAGCTCTTCACTTCTCAGAATGGGTAAGAAAAATGTCAGCTCTCAAATCTCCCAAACTGCAGGGCAAATTATCTTCTCCAAAAATAATCACTTTTCCATAGACTGGCACTGGGATGGAGTGGGTGTTGAGATTTATCTGTTGCGAGTTCAATTCTACACATTTGTAATTACTGAGACACTGTCAAAAGTGTCAGCCCAAAGCTTAGATTTATAGAGAAGATCTCAACACAGTGTCTTTTTTAAATGGACTGCCAGCATAGGCTCCAAGTAGTAGGGTTTTTAACAGATGAAAGATTTGATTAATGCATGGGAGAATAAAATATTTTCTGTATTCCATCTGTGAATGCAATTGAGAGTGATTATAAAAGGGGCATTTAGTAATCCAGAATCTTCAATTGTTTTCATTACCCTGTTAAATACAAATACAAGTTTTGATGAAAACCAAGACCTGGAGGTGGAAAGAGATGTGCAAACTCTTGGCAGGAGAGAGTACATGTGCTAAGTACTTCCTTAGCATCCAACCCAACCTAATCATGCAGAAAGTACTCTCATCACCCTGATTTTAGTGGAAGAATAGAAGCACTCCCACTGGCAGCTTTGATTACCAAGGTGCAATTATCAGCATAATGGTTTTATCTTTAAAAATAAACAATATTTTTCTTACTCCACTACAACTCATCCTTCTGCCTATGCAACCACATATCCACTGATGTATCACAGAAGACATTATTAATCATGCCTCTGATTGAAATTCTGAAGTCTGCATCAAACTGTGTGTTCAGCAGACCTGGAGGTGCCAGGGCTAGAAAATCAATCCATCCTTGCAAAGCTATGCCATTCTGGCACAAGGAACAACACCAGGAAGGAAAAAGATAAAAAGTCTTCACAACGGAATTTTCTCATTCAATAGCATTAAGAACAGGGAGTCTGAGCATCCCCATAATCCCAATCAGAATAAAGTTCCACTTACATTTTTTTTTCCTAAATCCATTGTCAACAACCTTCACAAGCTTCTTCGCACCAGCTGCTACATTCTAAACCTAAGAGGTCTGCCTGCACAGCATGACCTTTGCTTACTTGTCTCTATGCAGTGAGCAGCTAGCTTAAAGATTTAGTGAAGAGCTCAAAATAATCCATAGTGGAAATGCTCCCATATGTGTACCCTTCTGGCTACAGAAGAGGTTCACCTTTAACATCTTGGATTTTGGACTTTGACTGTGCCTCCTAAACAGCTTTCACCTTAACAAGAAGAGTTCAGCTTTAGCTCCAGGTGGATAATGTGCAGAGAAAAAATGGATTCTGGGGATAAGTGCCTGAAAAGCTCATTCATTTCTAGTATTCTGCCCTGCAGCCCCACCACATCCAGAAGCTGCAGGTTCCAGGTGTCTGTCAGTCCTGTCACTGATGCCAGCCACGTCTGGGAGCCCCAGCCAGTGGGCCAGGGCAACTGCTGGGAGGGACACAGTGTGACAGAAACCAGTGTTTCAAGATGTTCTACCTCCAGCACTGTGCCCAAAGACAGGGGGAGGGAGGTAGGCATCATTACCAAATCAAGTAAGCATCAGATTCCCTTCTTCCCTGATGCAGGACTATTAGGCTTACATATATTAAATGCTTTTAACACCCAATGCAGCTGACCTCCAAAGCTGAAGTTTATATTCTTCAGTGTCTTGTCTTCTTTGATTTGCTTTGACAAGAGTTGAAACTGAACTATTTGTATAGCCATATGGAAAGGGAAGGGGAAAGAACAAAGGATATTTTTCTTCCAGAACCAACTTTTCACAACTAGACCAAAACCACCTCTTTCTCTTACACACATTTTTCAGATGGTGATAGAACAAATCCTGTATACTGATACTTCAGTTGCCTTATGTCTCATTGGGGATTTGTGGGTAAAATTCCTTGGGTGTAGGAAACAGATGTTTAATGATCACACTAGCTTTTCTGTTGTTTTCACAAAACTCATAAAGAACATGGCATAAATGTCCTTGGAAATGAGTGGGTCAAGAACGAGTCTGTTAGCTCTCTTTTAAAATTCTTTTAAAACTCTTCTTGAGTCTGTTAGATTTCTTTTAAAATTCTTTTAAAACTCTTCTTGGAGGTTATGTAGTTTAATTAATTAATTAATTAATTAATTAATGCCTTTATTAATTTTTTACTTACAAATCTGCTCCTGTTCCGTAGATAGAGTACTTGATTTCTCCCCAAAGCCCTGAATCTGGATCTGTAGCCTTAAGAAAAGAAAATAAGATAAATATTCTTTACTAAAAATGAACATTAACAAAATAGCATTTACTAAAATGCAAAAAGAAATGTTTCATTTTTCTTTTAACGACAGGCCATGTAAATACCCGAACGATTTTCACTCTTTCTGCACCACATTTTTAGTGGGAATTCGCATGAGCAAATATGCACCTAGAAAAGTGCACAGTTTAACACCAAGAAATGTCACTGCACGTCCCCTGTGCCAGGGTCTCTGGCAGGCAGAGAGACACTAGGTGGCCCCATCCATCCACTCTTACCACATCCTCCTGTGATAGAGATGGGACTAATCTCAGTGACATGAACACCCTCCTCCCAAGCCTTCCTAATTATCAGTTTAAATTATTTACTTTATCTAGAGCATTGTTAAGCTTCTGCTTATCAGTTAAAATTATTTATCTAGAGCATTGTTAAGCTTCTGCTTATTTAATTGATTCAACTGAAAGTAATACATAAAAAATGTTTCAATCTATACATAATATTTCAGCTTTGTTTGTATTTTAATCACTCTTGTGCCTGTGTGAGTTTTAGTAATGCAAATACTATGCCAGATGATTTGTTTCATACTCTTGTTGGCTTCCTTAGCTAAAATTATTTATCTAGAGCATTGTTAAGCTTCTGCTTATTTAATTGATTCAACTGAAAGTAATACATAAAAAATGTTTCAATCTATACATAATATTTCAGCTTTGTTTGTATTTTAATCACTCTTGTGCCTGTGTGAGTTTTAGTAATGCAAATACTATGCCAGATGATTTGTTTCATACTCTTGTTGGCTTCCTTAGCTCAGGATGAGGAAAGCTATTGATGTGGTAGCAGCAATTTCCACAAGCTCCTGCTTCTCTGATAGCTCTGAGGAGGTGATATATTATATCGTTGTAACTGGCCAACAAAACTCGTGGTGACAGTGGTTGATTTCTTCATCGTGTTTAAATATCTGAGAACTGGAACAATTCATGGTGACAGTGGTTGATTTCTTCATTGTGTTTAAATATCTGAGAACTGGAACAATGCCTTTGATTCCTGCACAGTTAACATAACACCCCTGCAGCCCTACTGATCGATGTTTTGTTCTTTGTCATGAGCCTGTTGCATTCTCTCACTGCAGCCTATTTTAGTATTGTCTAACTTTTCCTAAAACATTTGCACACCTGGGACTTCTCCAAAATAGCCATGCTGAGTACTTGGAGTATACTTCTTCAAGTATATTTGTGAATTGGGGTCAAGTACTGAGTTGACAGCATATGACTATATTTTACACAGACGACTCAGCTACACTGTCCTGTGCACTT